AGTTAAAAAAAAAAAAAAAAAAAAAAAAAAAAAAAAAAAAAAAAAAGTTAATACACCATAGAAATATGCACAATATATAATAAATGGGGAAATATATATTACACTAACGGGGGCTGCATTCTTCTCCTGGGCTGTTTAAACGAAGCGCGGAAAAAGCGTGCAAAAATGGGGCATTCCACACCACTGCACTAAAACGACTTCGCCTCATCGCTTTTCCTTTCACGCTCGCGCGCAGTGTACTTAGATCATCCTCTTGATTAATTCATTTATGTGGTTCTCCCTGTTTCCCCAATCACCTGGCCTGGGCTCATTAAATGCGTGTCGCTTGGCCTTGAAACCTTTCTTGGGGGGCTTGAGCTTAAAGGCCCACAGAAAATTATTTACTTTTTTAAAAGCGGGCCCGCAAGTGTACAGTTGGTAAATCATGTCTTCAATTCCATGCACATTATATTTTCCTAGGTGTTTTGAAATTTCATTGTTGTCCTGAATTTTTTTCCTGGCATACCTTCTCACTTTTCCTACTTTGATGTAACCTCTTTTGTACACTAACTTCCTGATGGTCGAAACGGTTGGGTAACCATACGTAACGAATGGCTCCACAATTTTTAGCATTTCCTTTGTAGCCTTGTTCACCTTCACGAAGACTCCGTTATGTACTTGAAGCAACCTCAGGAGACGAAAGACGGTTCGAACCTTTGGGGACAGTTTATTCACACCCTTCAATCTGATCACAAAAACGACTTTCTTTTCCGCTTCCCTGTAGAAGCAATTGTTTTTCCTTGCTTCTCTTTTAAGTTGTACGATTTTCTTTCGTTCCTCTTCGTACTCCTTCTCATATCGCAGTGTACGTAGTCGCAGTTCGGTTCGCTTCTTCTTGTTGATCTATGTGTGGAGGAAGTAAGCGGGACAATGTGATAAAAGTGTGGCCCAGTGTACAGATGCAAAATGATGTAAAATAAAAACGAACCATGTGCGCAGTATACACGGGCATGTACATGTGGACGACAACATGTGAAAAGGTGCATGGTGAGATGAAGCCACTCCGGCGATTGCAACCCCCCAGAACTTACCAATTTCTGTGCCTTCATCTTCTTCTTATTCTTCTCCTTCAGCTCGAGGTACTTGCTCAGCTTCTTCTTCCTCAAGCTCATCATATTCTTCCCCACATCTTTTTTCTCTTCTTCGTACCTATCCTGTATAGGGGGGGGGAAAGCGCCAAGCAGGTTCGTATGATGGGGTTGGCCATTCAATCAGGTCAAGCAGGTCAATCAGGCCAATTGCGCCCATCACGCCATCACGCTAAACATACGCTCGAGCAAACGCAAGTCACATGAGCCATTTGTACTACATGACATGCCGAACTGCATGGATCCGCACCATCTGTATATCACTCAATGAACTCATGTAGCGCTCTCTCCTTCTTACCGCCATTGTTGCTATGGGTTCTTTTTTCCGTATCGCTTACGAGAAAAAGCAAAATTATTTTTTTTTCCTTCCACAAGGATTAGTACGGCGTGTAGCCTGTATCGCAGAATGCGAGTTTTTCGTTTTGTTGCGCTCGACAAGAAAAGGCGAAGCTTCGCAATTATCAAATGCAGATGATAGCCTTTTTTTTTTTTTTTTTTTTTTTTTTATAAAGC